AGCAGAAAGACAGTCTGGAGGGGGGAGGAGGCTAGGAAACACTGCTCCACCTGATTTCAACAGCTCATGAGGATGGTAATAAAATACACGGCAACCCAGGACACTGCACTAGCTACGGCCATGAAGGCTAAATCCGCTCTTCAGTGCTTTGGATGTGGGCAGGAGGGACACGTTAAGGCAAATTGCCCTGCTAAACAAAAAAATCCAAGAAACTCTGCCAGCAATTCTGCAGGACTAACCTGCAGCTGCTGTAGAAAAATAGGGCACTTTGCCAAACACTGTCTGTCCAAATTTCATGTCAGCGGACAATCTCTTCAGGGAAGTGGCAAGAAGAGTGCGAGAGGGCGCCCAGGATCACTACTTTGCTCCAGCAACCCCTTCCTGAGAGCCACCCAGGTCAGATGCCCTTATGCAACCGTCTCTTAGGGAAAACCATGGATTAGCAGGACTGGATGTGTCCACGGCCGACACAGTGACCATTTCGACCAAAGACATCGTTAAAGTACTGTCAAGAGGCAAAAGGACCTATAGGGTGACGGTTGAGTGCCTCATTGATCGGAAGGTCTAGCAGTACTTTAAATAGGTTGATTGTGCATGTGGGAATTATTGATGCTGGTTATACTGGGCAAACTGGTGCTATGATTTCTACTCCCTATCCGCCTGTAACCATTCCCAAAGGAACTCAAATTGCTCAGCTTGCACCGTTTTTGAGCTGTGTTCCCAAAACAGAATGTCAGGAGTGACATGACGGAGGATTTGGGTCCACAGGACCTGTTAGGTATTGGAAGTTAGCTATTGGAAAATTGGGTGTCGGAGGCGTGAGGAAGGCAAAAGAGCAAACCAGTGAGAAATCTGTGAAGCACACAATTTCCTTGACACGGAGTGCCCAGAATAAACACAGCACCAGACAGAGGTCCAGTGATTTGGGTTTGATGTGACGCCAAGGAAGAATGCGAGGTGGAGTGCAGGCTGCACGGTCCCATTCTTTCCCTTCAAGAACAGACTTATCTCCTGTTCTGCTTGGTTCCCTTGAAATATGATTTTTTTGTAGGAACCTGCCAACTCTGTGCCTCATCCTCCCTTCCTTCCTACACAATCCAGCTGCACTTATACCATGTCGACCTTGCTTCTCATCCTCTGTCTTTTTTCCCCCAAAAAACAGCTGTACCCCTTGGCATCATGAAGCTAATTGTGTATTAATGATAGAATAACGATTTGACTACAGTCCCACCTGCTCACCATACCTACTACAATAAATAGTACCCCAAGTTTGTACCTAACTTGGAGGGACGATAATCTGACACCAAAAGGGAGGGACAGTTAGACGGGTTTGTGCTCTCACCTTCCCAGCAGGATGCTTTTTGGTAAGACTTCCTCAGATATGCCAAGTGTATCCCTGGGAATTGTGTGTGTGTGATTGTAATCCTTTTTTTTTTTTTGTGTAGTGCTATAGAGCCAACCTGCAATTTGTGCATTTATCATAGGCAATTGTAAAGAATCTGTAAATGTTGCACGAAAAATAAACCATACTATTCGTGAATCTGATGGCTTCTCTTGAATGCAACCAGACTTACAGTGTCTGGGCTGTTGGGGCTGGGTCAGACATAGTCACAGTGTCAAATGGCAAACCTATTAAGGGATAAGTCCAGCTGCCCTTTGCCCCTCTGATCTCTGAGGACTGGCTAGAACGCACGGGGATTTATCTCTTACCAAATTTATCTCTTACCCTAAACACAACAGGACCCCCATAGGTCTTCTGGTCACAGACTGTCCCATCACAAAGACCACAGATGGCCTGTATACTATCCAGCAGAGGGCACGTGCCCACAGCAGTAAAACTTATGGGACTTCTGGACACAGGAGCTGACGTAACTATTATACCTCAGTACTCTCTGCAGATGCCAGCCCTCGTTGGGCTCCTGCTTGGTGTGTTTGGCCTGTGCTGGAACCTACATCTGTGTGAAGATAGGTAGTTCCACAACCCCAGCAGAATGTTTGGGCAACTCTGGCAAACATGACACATCAGGAAACTTTGTGTCTCTCTACTGCAAGCCCTGAAAACCCATTCTCCATGTGCTTGGTGGGATTGCCCGTAGACACACGGCCAAACCCACTGCACAACGTGGATCTCTGCAACTTTCCAAAAAGCTGTACAGACAACTGGGATTTGGTGTATGCTCACTTACTTCGAGTTGATACAGGAACCCAAAGAACTGGAACTACTAGGATCAGTAATCATGGACGCCTGCCTGTTTTTTAATTATACAAGTAGTACAAAACGTAAAGGACAGAATGTAAATGCCACTTTACGATTTATCGCAATGCAGTGGCTTGGTGTGCCTGTACCACTCCAGAGGTATCTCAGTCATTTGGTGCTCCCATTGCTCTACCCTCTGGAATATTCTTGACATGTGGGGATAGAGCATGGGGAGGACTGCCCTCAAAACTTAATGGTGGCCCATGTAGCCTTGGTCATCTTACTTTGCTAACATCTAGTATTACAGTGATACACAAAAAAATTGCAACATAAAAGGGATACACATCAATTTGCTGAGAACTGTGATGACAAAGTAACAGTTTTGGAATCCAGGTCAAATTATCGCATCCTCCTTTTTTGCACCAGGAGTTGCTGCTGCAGCTGCACTAAAGAAATGGAGTAATTTGGGGTGTTAGCTGAGTAGGCAAGGCAGGGCTACATCACTGGCACTTGGTGGGTGATGTAGATAGTGTTAAATATGCTACTTTGCAGAATAGAGCTGCCACAGATTTTTTGGTTTTAGCACAAGGACATGGGTGCGAAGATTTTGAAGGAATGTGTGGTATGAATTTATCAGATCATTCTGAGTTAATCCATAAAAGCATACAGCAGCTAAAAGAAGGAGTAGAACATTTACAGGTGGATGATAATCTAGATTGGTTCACAAAAATGTTCAAGGGCTGGAGACTATCTGGGTGGTTAACATCTTTAGTCAAGACTGTGGGACTGATACCAAAAAAGCTGGCTGAGGAAGAACTCTCTAAGACTCAGAATCAGAGTATTAGAAAGCAGGGATTCTTTATCGCAGCTCTGGGTGCATGAGGGATTTTTCCACCTAATGTGCACACCCAAGCCCCTTAGGTTTCATCTTAAATGCAGGTACCTTATACATATTCATAGCACTGCACAGTACAAACATCCCTATACATAACTGAGATGGGGTTTAGCTCAAAAGGCCTGTGCCAGCAGTTCTGGAATGTTTGTCATCGTTGTGTCTGCCTATTGCCTCCTGGTGGTCATCTTCAGGGGTCTTCAGGAGGAAGGCTGGTAGTCTTCCTCGTCACCTTTTCCCCAGTTTCAACAGTGCCAAGACTCAGAACCAGTTTCTCCTGGCTGTCCTGCTTGTTGGCCCCCATATCTAGGAAATGTTGCATGTCCTTCGGCCTCGGCTCAGTCAGTTGGGCCAAAAAAACGCCTGTTATCTTCTGTTGCCTTGGTTTCACCTCCTCTGTCCTTGGACCTGTCTTCGTGGGCCTGCGTCTTTGTTCCCGGAGCTTAACATTCCTTGAACAGACAATTCTTAAACCTAATATTGCTAGTCATCTTATTAATCATGTGCTTAATTTCTCAGTATTTCTATATCAGGACTAATTATCTTGACAGGTGTGGTTGTGTTATTGATGGGCCCTGCAAAAGAGCCCTGAAAAAAAGCGTTCATGCAACATTTTCAGCACAAATACAAAAAGGGGGAATTGTCGGGGTGTGCAGCGTACACAAAGGTGGCACATGTACCCACATACACCGAGTAGCGGCTCCTCCTCCGGCCTTGCGGGACTGAGGAGGACTCAGTAACTTCCCAGAACCTGCTCCGCAGGCTCGAAGCCGTTTTCCAGCAGCTTGCTGACGGCGTTTCTCAAGTAACAAACGAAGAGCGGGACCCCAGAGGGCAGCGCTGGGGTCACCGCCCGCCGCTGCCCGAGGG